GCGCTTCCTTACCATTGAGTTGCCGGTAAACGATGTCTTCCAGCAGCGACAGGCGCTTGAGGACCGCATCCTGAATGGGGCTGGTGCTGTGCGCACTGAGGTTGGTCACCTCTGCGCGCGGCCGGATCTCGTGGAAGGCGTCTCCGCTGCGCACCGCGATGGGCCGGCACTTAGCTAAAAAGATCACGAAGCCGGCCACCGCGATCAAGTTCAACACCAACAGCACTTTGACTCTCCTCAGTGAAGCCATCAAACAACCCGGCCGGTCCTCTCCCTGGACCCGCGCCTCCACCTGCCTCACCTGCGAGGCGCTGGGCAGCCTGGGACCCTGCTAACCTCACACAGCTGATCACAGCCGGGGTAGAGGGGAGGGGGGTGGAACCCCAGCTGCTGCGGGCTCCCAAAGCACTAGTGCCTCAGAGGACAGACACCTCTGGAGAGGATGGAGACAGGGAGTGTTCGCTCAGACCGAAGCCTCTAGCTTGCAAAAGTGTCCGTGAAATGCCTGCTCCGTCCACAAGCGCGCAGCCCTTCGCAAGAGTCGCAGCCAAATATCAAGGTCCGTTGCACCAGCAACCGGGTCGCCTCTGGATCTTGGAACTCGGGAGCTGTAGACCTCCAGGACCAACCAGGTGGCAGTTAGAGATGCTCCAGAGATGTGGCAGGAGTGGCGCGCAGGTGCCCGGCTCCGGGCTCTGCACCCGCCCGCGGAAGAGCGCGCCACTCCTGGAGCAGCAGGGTCACCACTCTAGCCCTCAGGCGGCCGTCGGGGCACGGGGACAGTACTCTTCAGCGGAGGACCGGCTCCTCCCGGAGGGTGTCTTTGTTCAGTTCACCGGCCCTCTCCATCACTTCGGGAGAAGGAAAATCCCGCGCCCGCTTCCTGCATCCTCACAGCTCCGCAGTCACGCTCGAATCTCAATGACTCTCTCAAAGTGGGGGGACAGCAGGAAAGGGGCGGGAGCAGGGACCCAGCGCGACGTCCTCTCCGCCCCCACCCCGCCAGCCAAACTCACCAGTGCGCACAGCGCCACCGGTTTTCCCGGACACGTTCCAAGTCCCCACACGAGCTTCCAGGGCCTGCCGGACACACTGGTCTATGGGGGGGGGGGGGGGGGGGGGGCGGGCTGGCCGGAAGGAGGAGTCGGCCCTCCAAAGTCACACCAGTAGTCTACCCGCCTCTCCAAACGTCGCTAAGGAAGGGATGCGCGCTGGCGCCCCCGCCGCCTGTCACCGCGGCGCGCGCAGCTAGTCCCGAGCCCCCAAGGGAGCCGAGTGTCCCGATCGCCGGACGCAGTGACACCGCCGCTGCGGCACACAGTCCACACGGTCCCCCGGGCTGCGGAGGATGGTGGGATGCAGGAGAGCAGCTGGGGAGCACAGAGGGGATGCTCAGGTGGCGACGGGTGGCGGGGCGCGGCCCCGAGGGGAGCGGCTGCGGCGCCGACTCCTCCTCCGTGGTCCCTTGGTCACCCTCTTCCCCGAGAGCCAGTCGCCACTGCCGCTGCCACCCGCAGGCTGCTGAGCGCACAGCTAGGGGAGGCTGGCCCTCTCGTGCGCGCGCACCCGGAAAGGGTGGGGGCGCCGGGAGAGAGTGGGGAGCGCGCGGGATGGGGAGGCAGGCGAGTCATGTTGGCTGCTGAGGGCTTAGAAGAGACCCTTGGGGTTCTCCGAGCTCCCCCAGAGGGCGGGTAGGTTCCATCTCGCTTGGCAATGAAGATATTCCTTCTCTCTGCCTAGCTGCTCCGCTCGGCGAGGCCGGAATGGCTAGAGGGAAAATCTGGCCTGGAGAGTCGGATTCTTCTACTTTTCGGAGCCAGGCCTGCTGTCCCTCTTCCTAGAGACCTGGGAAGACACCAGACCATCCTAGTCGCTGCTTCTGGGCCCACCCACAAGTCTATAAACATCTTATTAATAACGCCCCGGTTTATCGCCCAGCCGGCTCTCCCAAACTAAGAAGTTCCAAAGACTGGAATCCAAACCCACTTTCTGATTTGTTTAATTCTTTGGGCTTAAGAAAGAAACAGGGCTGCCAAAGACTAAGGATCAGTCAGCTAAGTGAGTTCAAAGGTTTCAATCCCCTCCTTCCCACACCATTAAAGCTAGTTGTTGGTGGTAGTCGGTTAGTTTTATTTAGTCGCTTGCTTTGGGGTTGACTTCAGGAGGTTGTTTTCTTTGGAGTTGTTTTCTTCGGTTTGGGGACTGGCATGTGATGCAGTTGGTCCAGTGCTTGCCTAGCATACAAAAACAAACCAGGTTTGTTGGCACATGCCTGCAATCCCAGCACCAGGGAGGTGGAGGCAGGAGGATCAGGAATTCAAGGTCCTCTTTGGCTAAATAATTAGTGAGTTCCAGGCCAACCTAGGTATTTTCTTTTAAAAATGGTTCTTTGTATTTATTTATTATTTATTTATTTATTATTTATTTATTTATTTATTTGGTTTGGTTTAGTCTATTTGGAGTTTTGGTGTATGTCTGCTTTTGTTTAGGATCTCATTTAGCCCAGGCTGGCCTCTAACTCCTGATCTTTCTGCCTCTACCTCCCAAGTGCTGGGATTATAGGGATACAGCCATGAAGCCTGGGCTCTCCATCTCATTAAAGTTTTTGCTTTGTTCTCCTTTGTTTTTCTGTTTGGAGTTTGTGAGGGAGCCTGGTTGTGTTTTCTTTTGTTGTTGCTTGTTATTTTAAATATTGATTTTTAACACATACACAAATATATACAAGGTTGGGGGGGGGCTGTCATCCACCTTCCCAGGAGGATGAGAGGACAGGAGAATTCTCTCCTTCCACCATGTAGGTCCCGTGGATCGAACTCAAGACATCAGTTCAAGACTACCCTGGGCTACAGAGTGAGTTCAAGACCAGCAGAGGCAACTAGGGGAGTCTCTAATCTTAAAATAAAACATAAAGAAAAAAGTGCAGGAATACGGCTCACTGGTACAGTGCCTGTCTAACATGTGTGAGGCCCTGGGTTCAGTCCCCAAAGGGAGGGAGATAGGGAAGGAAGAAGGGAGGGAAGAAGAGAGGGAGGGAGGGAAGGAGAGAGGGAGAGAAGAAAGAAAAACTACAGCAATCTTGGAGTTTTTCATTCCTTGTTTTTAAGTTTTTATTTTGGGTTGCGGGGGTTGTTTGGGTTTTTGTTGTTTTTCTTGTTCTTGTTTTTTGGTTTGTTTGTTTTGAGACAGGGTCTCCCTGTAGCCCCAACTGGCCTGGAACTCAATATGTAGATCCATCTCACAGGGATCTACCTGCCTCTGCCTCCCAAGTGCTGGGACTAAAAGCATGTGCCACAACACCCAGCTCTGTTTTTATTTTTATTATCTATGTGTGTGGATACCGTTAGAGAAAAGGGCATCAGATGCCATGGAGGCAGAGTTGTAGGCCCTTGTGAGCCACCCAACCTTAGGTACTGGGATCCCAACTCAACTCTTCAAGAAATAGCAACAAGTGCACTTAGCCACTGAGCCATCTCACTGGCCTTAATTTTGGAAAATATTTATTTAGGGTGTGTATATGTGTAGGTGTGCAGGCTTGCACAACCACCATGCATGTATGCAGTCAGGGGACAACCTGTAGGAGTTGGTTCTCTCATTCCACCATGAGGGTGGAATTGAACTCGGATTATCAGGCTTTGTGGCAAGCTTTACCTGCTGAACCTTCTTACTAGCCCCTGCTTTTGTTTTGTTGGATTTTGTATGTTTGTTTCATTTCTTTGGAGTCTGCTAAACAAGACCTGTAGGGTTCTAGATTTATATAATCTACAGGGACGTAGGTACAAAAGAGCTAAATTAAAAGCTACACCAAAAAGTGCACAAAAGCTGAGTGACACATACATCTTTGATCCCAGCACTTGGGAAGCAGAGGTACGTGAATCTCTGGGAACTTAATGCCAGCCTGGTCTATGTAGGGAGTTCCAGGCTAGTCAAGACTACACAGTGAGGCCCTGCCTTAAAATAACAAAAAACAAAAAAGAGCCTGGAGAGATGGCTCAGTGGTTAAGAACACTGACTGCTCTTGCAGAGGACCTGGCATCTACATGGTGGCTCACAACTATCCTTAACTCCAGTTCTGGGGACCCTCTTCTGGTCTCCAAGGACATTGCATGGCATGGGCGCACTTATATATATGCAAGCAAAAGAACTCATATGCATAAAATAAAAATAAATAATTTTTTTTAAAAAAGAAAATAAAAGTACACTGAAGCCAGCAAGATGCTCCATGGGTAAAGATGCTTGCCAGCAAACCTGACAACCTGAGTTAAATCCCTAGGAACCACATGGTGGAAGGAGGAAATAGACTTCTGCAAGTTGTCCTCTGTCTACCATACATGTGTTGGTGGCATGCAAATAACAAATAATTAATTAATTAATGTAATTTTTTAAAAATTCTAAAGGCACACAGTAGGCACTTTTAAACAACATGTGTGGGGAAAGGGGGAGGTGCTGTGGGAGAAAGCTCCCTGCTTCTATGGAGTTCCAGTACTGTAGGAAGTCATTCAGCCTAGGGCTCCACAGCTGCCCACTGAAAACCCACCCAGTCAGTGTTAAAACCACAGCAGATGGAAACTGGTGGAGGGGTGGGAGATGCAATACCCTTTGACCTGGTTAGCCTGGGAAGAGGGAAACTCCAGTGAGAATTTCCTCTATCAAACTGACCTGTGGCTATGTCTTTGGGCCATTTTCTTGGCTGTTCATTGACATAGGTGAGCACAGTCCACTGTGGGAGTTGTCTTATCTGGCCAGGCTACTCTGGGCTGTATAAGAAAGGTAGCTCAGGGGCTAGAGAGATGGCTCAGCGGTTAAGAACACTGAGTGTTCTTGCAGAAGACCCGGGATCAAACCCCAGCACCTACATGGCAGCTAACAACTGTCCGTAACTCCAGTTCCAGGGGATCCGACAGCCTCTTCTGTCCTCCACGGGCATTACACAACATGGGTGCACTTACCTACATGCAGGCAATGCATGAGTACACATAAAATAAAAATAATAAATTTTAAAAAAAAGAAAGGTAGCTGAGCAAGCCAGGGGAAGCAAGCCAGTAAGCAGCTTTCCTCCATGGTCTTTGCTTCCCGCTTCTAGGTTCCTAACCTGAGTTCATGCCCAGCTTCTCTCAGTGATAACTGTAAGCCAGATAAACCCTTTACTCCCCAAGTTGATTTGGTCAGTTTTAGCACAGCAATAGGAAGCTAGCTAGGACAGCTTCTTCACTTATCATAAGTATGGGTCGCCACCAGCACACCCATAATAGACAAGTTAGAACACAGCATGACATATTTATTTTAGCAAAGTTTTATATGACATGGGAACCACCAGATATGGAGATTCAAGGGAAATTTGGTTGGATTGAACTAGGTTGGGAATGAGTTTGTGTGTTTGTTTTTTTGCTTATGTGTATGAGTGTTTTGGCTACACATATATTGGTACACCTGTGTTGTACAGTGCCCATGGTGACCAGGAGAAGGCATCAGATTCCCTGGAACCAAAGTTACAGAGAGTTGTTAGCCACTGTGCTAAATAGCTTTAGTGTCAACTTGACACACCTGGGTTGAGGGAGCCTCAATTGAGGAATTTCCTCTATTGGACTGGCCTGTGGAGAGCCACAGCCTCCGCCGCCATTACAAGATGGCGCCGGTATCCGGACCTTCTTAACAGTAAACATCCTGCTGCGCCCATAAGGGGCGTGCACAAGAGCCTGCTCTCCCTCGCCTCCTCCCGTGGCGTGATCTCCAGCAACCAATCCGCTTCTTATACGTCATAAATGGGACCTTTAGGGCATATATAAGCAACAGCTCTCCCACTTCTCGGCGTCTTCGGTCTTCATCCTTAGTATGCTATGTAAGAGGCTTATGAAATAAACTGCTGCAGAAGGATCCTGACTTGTCCTCCCGCGTCGTTCTTGCCGGCGAGACGGAAAGCGGTCGGGGACAGTTAGTAAAACTCACCTAGGTAACCACAACTCCAAGTCAGACAAAAAGTACCTGGGGGACCCCACAGTTCAGTTCCTTCTGGAGATCTCTCTTCAACCTGGTATTCCTCCATGGCCTGTGCTCCAGCTCCTGCCTC